GAACTCTTATAGTACTGTACGATGTACATTTTTTTTTCAAGCCTTTAATTTCATTTGTAGAAAAATAACTTCTGAAATTAAGCCAAAATCAAGCCAGCACCGGGAATCGAATCCATCTAAAGCTGACAGCGTAAAAAAATATAAACATAGAAATATACATAATATAGAGACGAAGAACCAAAATGCAAGTTACAAAATTTCAAGCAAATATGATATCAAATTGGTTGGAAAGCCTTTTAATAAAACATACAGATGCTGATCAATTTTAACATAATATTAAAAAACTTACAAAACCAAACTTACAATTCAAGAATTATTTCAACGTTGAGTGATTGACTCTTCGGTTATAAAATAATGTTCTTGTCATCAAACAGTTGCATAGTGGTCGTTATACGTAGTTGATTTTTTCATAATACAGTTACATTTGTCAGCTTTATTTTTATTTTATCTGGAAGCAACCTCGATTTGTTGCTGTTTAACTAACAAAGCATAGCAATTAACCGAATTATAGTGTAATACAAAAGTAAAAAAGTGAAATTAGAAAGCATCCACAAAAGAATGCAACAAGACTTTTCATGTATGTATTTTAACAAAACTTATACAATAGTTCAATGTTTGGAACAGAATGGCTTATTCATATCATATATTTGTATCGTTTCGAGGGTTTTATCGGAGTTTGGAAGCGCGGGCGGGACGCGCCGACAGATTGTCCGCCCACGATCGGCGCCCGCGCAGGTGCCGTCCATATCCCCGCCGCTCTCTGCTTAAATCCGCCAGTGCATAGATCATGCAACAGTGGATCAGTTCTCTTTTAGGAAGTCGTAATCTGAACAACATCAAACAAATGCAACTTAAAATTGCTACAGGATTCCATAGAGAACAAAATCGGAAACATGCAATTTGAAACTTAATTAAAAACATTTGTTTCACAAAATCAAAGTAAATAATGGACATGATAGCCAAATGACAAAATATCAATAATTTTTAAAAACCTGACTACTTTTGTAAAGCCGTTGTAGCCTACCACCGTCCACCGTCTCTCAAGCAGAGGCCATGTGTTCGAATTCGGGCTTGCACCTCTAAGTTTTTGGAAATTTACGTGCGAAATTTAATTTAGAATAGAATAGAATAGAATAGAATAGAATACATTTATTACAAAACACCACAACACAATAATAAACAGTAAAAAATTAAAAGTAAAAAAAAAATAAAATAAAACAGAACTAAATTAAACTTAAAACAAACTAAATTAAAACAAACAGAAAATAAATAACAAAAAAGAAAGTAAATAAAATTAATTAAAAATAAAATCTTGGCAATAAATAATTATTCGACCATAAAGCTGGTCAACACTATTGCTGTACGAAGTAGTAGTAGAATTTGAACTTTTCCATGAGCTTTTCCGTGAACGAAAACATCGTGATGAAGCCTGCACGTCGAAGAAAGTTGACAACGCTCGGAAAACATGTTGAAGTCCCCGCATTGAGCCAGCCTAGCGGAATATGGCCTAAATCCTAAAAGTAGACCCATGCCCAGCAGTGAGATATATAAAAAACGTTGATGATGACTCCTTTTGTAATTAAAGCTTCAAAATTACTCATAATACCTATCAAAGAAAGGGTAAATTTTGTACATTTACTCATGTTCACACGTAATTCTATATATTATTCTATGATCGTAGAAAGCTTGAATGAACGTTAGTGAATGGAGGACTGTAGCGATCAGAGTATGTTCTGTCTGGCCATGTTTATTGCCTGACCACTAACCGGTACCTTATCTTATCCCAGAGTCGGAATAAGGAAAAAATTGAGTACGATAAAACATTGAATGGAAAGAAAATTTTGTAGTAGTAGAGCTTGTGACGTTCGTTCGTTCAGGGAAATACTGCCAGCTTACCTAATTCTGCCACCAAGCAGTAATGTTTTTCGGTTTTGAAGGGAAAGAGTGCCGGTGAAATTACAGGCACATAGGACTTAACAACGTATGTCTCAGGGTGACAGGCGAAGTAGCAGTGTCCCTTAGGTCTTTGCAATTTAAAGCTATGAATGGCACTGCAACTGCTATGAACAAGCGTGTCGCTGAACACCAGACACGCGACTTGTTCGTCCCGTTACTTGGTAATCAAAAAAATATTTGAATATGATTTTCTATGCAATATCTTTTTAGTTTCAATTGTACCAACCGGGTTACAAAAACCTGAATTAACAGTTTCAAAACTTAAACTTACTGAATATTATACTCTGAAAGTCAATATCGTCGGCGCAAGCGCACCTTTACGAATTAATGACAGATTCAATGAGATTCATAAAGTTTAAATGAATTTAATAATCAGAAATCCGATTTTTAAGTAATACACAATTTTATCTAAAATTTCCTACTATAGGTGTACATAAATCCAGTAAAATCTAAAATAAAGAATAATCAAACGCATGTTACAAAACTAAACAATAATAATAAAACTAAACAAAAATTCTAAGGTAAAAACATTTTTCACTTTGTAAGAAATATGAATTAAACTATTCAAGTATTTTTAATATACAAACCATGGTTATTTTTTGTTATATTCAAATATGTAGAGAAGTTAAACCTGATCTCTGGACTCCATTAAAGATTAAATCAAACATTGCTCACTCTTGCTTCAGATATAATGCCAAATTTGCTTAATTTACATCATTTGCACAACTTTCTTTGTTTATTGCGATCCGCCTTGTTTTTGTTAAATATAAAGGCTGAAAGCTAACATTAAAGTAAATGTAGCATCGCCTGAGTGCTACTCTGTCTTGAGCACTTAGACTTATGCATTGAAATGGCTGAGCTTTAAACTCACTAAATGCATCGGTTTGCGACCGCCGCCGTAATGTAAAAGTGTTATGTTGTATTGTCGACAACCCACAGGAATTTATCTTTATCTCGGAACAACCAGAGGATATAAATTCATGTTTGTGCGAAAATAAGGAAAAGGTTGAGACATATCTTTTTACATATGAATAAACTGCACTATTTTTGAAATAAGATACATTAAAACACAAATTTTACCATTTGTAGCTGGCTTTAAGCGCTGAATTGTAAAGTTTATGAACAAATAAATGCTAAAACGTCAATTTATGTCGTCGTGTCGTATAAAAGCAACAGAAATAAATTACTAACAACACAAATAGCACAAAATAACTAAGTCGTATATCAATATTGACAATAAGCAATATCGTAAAATGAAACACGAACTAAAAGAGGTGTAAAGTAAGTAAACGGACTGTTAAACAAGTTTACAACATCGTTTACAAAGTTACAAATATCGTCGCGAGACCGGCGCCAGCGCAGCGATTCACGCCTCCGCGCGTCAGTCACTCTTCGGTACAACTCTAAAATCATTTCTTAAATGGCTTTGACGTTTTGTGCATTAATATATTATTATATTCACATTTTGAAAAAGTATGACGATGTCTTTCTAAATAAATTTTCATGATTTAACATTTCAATGGTGTATAAATCACTTAATGGAGGATAAATCACAATAAGTCCATCTTATTGAATAAATTAAAAAGTTAAATTATTTTTTTAAACTTGATTAGTTATTAATGAAATCGATTACGTGCATCATATGGTTCAACATAAAAGAGCGCTCCTCGCCGAAACGTTTGATAGCATCTTAATCGCTCCACCCACATCTCGGTATACAATGGCTCTAGCTCATTCTTTTTCTCACAAAAAACCGTAGCACAATGATATTATGTCATGTTCAGTCGTGTATTGTTTGATTGATTCACGTCATAATCCTCTAGTAAAATTTCGTTCAACGTGAAAAAACTATGAAAAAACCCATCCATTATCATTTTGTCGAGGATAATCGTCTACTCTTCTGTTACACTGGATGAATGATGACTAATACCAAGCTAAACTAAGTATAATTGACATGTTTCTATATAACACAGTCATATGCCAAGTTTTTAAGAAATTCATCCATCTTTGAAACTGCGTTAATTGCTGCACTTAATTCACTCGTAGATAAACATTTTAAATACAACTTCGTCTTCGATTGTCGGTTAAAAATTTTTTTTTATTTACCAGGGTCTTACGGTGTTGTTTTATTTCATAATAATCGGCTAATAAACTTTGATAAATTTTATTTATTAGATAATAAATTAAAATATACAAATAAGGTTCAATAAAAGCTTAACTACTAGAAACTAAAAGTAGGATTAAATTATATGAATAAAATTGGGTCCCCGCGACAAGGTTCCCAAGATGCTGCTTAAGAACTTAAATTACAATCTAAACAAAAAATTAAATTAAATTAATTTAATTTTTAATTAATTAAATCTAAAAAAAATTAAAAAGTTAATAAAGTTACCATCAATCCAACGAATACAACCTCGATCGGTTTATCTTTGATAAAGCTTCCTGTGTCCACCTTCCTGATCCATCATAAGGCACTAGTCGCCACCTGTAAGCCAACTTTTTACAACAACGCCTGACATATTTCTGCCGCCAAGTATATGAATATTATAGCGTTCACATTTTGAAGAGTAACAGTGCTAGTGAAATTACAGGCACAGGGGACTTGTGAACTTGTGTCTCAGGGTGACGAGCACGGCAGCTGTACCCCTCAGATCTTAGCGATTTAAAGCTCTGAGTGGCACTGCAACTGCTACAGACGACCACGTCGCTTACCATCAGGCGCACGACTTGTTCGTTCCGTCACTTGGTGTCATAAAAAACCGAGATGAATTCGAAAAGAGTCTTGGTTGCAGCATATAATAAAAGTTACCATATTATTGTAATGGCATCGCATTTACGTAGTATACCCAATCACAAGTCGATGCGGCAGTTATAATGCCGCAACAAATAAAGGCTTCAAACTTATCACTTCTCTTCTTTTATGTCGGGGGTTAAAATATACATGTTTGTGCATTATTCTCTCTTCTTTAAGATTTGACACGCTTTAAATTTTTACCAATGCAACACTGCTACCAAAACCTATATAGACGTTTCTTTCCTTTCAGATTCGGAATGGGCCCCCCAGAAGCGCTAGTATTGGCGGCAAGCATCGTCGGAACGATGGCATATATCCCCCATGGTTCTATTGGGGAGGTAAAGGTAGACCTTCCCCGCCCTTTCTTGTTATTCATTATAAGATAACGTAAACCTCTTGTCCTCTTAAGTTGAATTTTCATCGTCTTAACGACAGGATATGTTACAATATGGCATTGAAAAACTGTTTTTTAGAAAAGATTCCGCTTGCCTATGCCTTGCCCTATGACTACATACAAACTTAATTAAAGCCTTACAACGTTATATTTTGTATTCAGGAGCCCATGCTAACAGGGGCTTTGCTACGTGAAGTGGTGGAGCGCATGAGTCGGGAGTTTAATGGTCCTTCTTCTTACCTGGACTTTCCAACTGGCGACCGCATGGCTCTGATGGCACGTGCCAACAAGGACCTAGAGAACGAACAACTGGACTATGACTCCTTGCTCGATGGGAATCCCAACCCGAGTCTGAGAGATCAGGAATATTTGCAGCACAGGTAAAGTCTGCTTACAGGAAACAAAGGACTTAATGTCATACTTAACTGGACTAGGAGCTATAGCGAAAACAACAACAGTCATTTAAAGGTTTCATGATGACTCCAGTAACTTAAGATTTTTATTCAACCTTTATTGTCAGCTCACTGTGGGGTCATCAGTACGTAACCGGAGGTGCTGGAGAAGGGCAGCAGCGTCTACTGCCTTCTGGTATGGTCCCTAATAAGCAGATGGTCAAGACGGACGCAGTACTACCGGCCTACTGTAATCCTCCAAATCCTTGCCCTGTTGGCTATACTGGTAAGTGGTTGATGCTGATGTGAATGTTGATTATTAATAAATAGAATAATAGATGCTTTTGGAAGGAAGCTTCCGATTAGTTCCCATTTCTAGCTACATTCAAGTTCCAAAGATTATGAAGACGTCACTCATCTTTACAATTTTGTATGTCCAGAAGATCAAGGCTGCATCAGCGAATTCGAGAACACAGCCGCATTCAGCCGCGAATACCAGCTGGCTCAGCGTTGCATGTGTGATGGAGAACACATGTTTAGCTGCCCCCCTGACTCCGGCTCTGATCTCGACCTGCACTTTCCTGAGCACCATAAGAACCTGGTGGCTAAAAAGTACAAGCCTGATGTAAGTATATCAAATTAAAAATAAAGTTCATATATACATATCTATGACAAAGTGCTAATTAAACCATGAATTTTGGATTTCTGCCCGTCATCAAACTACTTGAAAACGGACTCAATCTTACCAGGGCTAGTTTTGTTAACAGAATTGTAAATTAGTCTATATAAAATAAAATCTTCATTAAAAAATTTGGTTGGTTGTATTCATTTCTATTTTCCTATTTTCAGGTTGAAAACCCCTACTTAATGGGTGAGCGATTACCAATTGCCGCCAAAAAGGGATTTGAAGTAATCTCCTACTAGAAGGATCTTATTGTAAGAACAACTTCACTATGTATAACACTATCAATGTAAAATTACTTAGAATAGATACAGTACCAAATTCTGTTATAACCTCCTTAAGGTCTTAGTAATCAACAAAAGGGAATGTATCCAGTCAAGTTGAGCTTCCGACTTCTACATTTTTTGATTCAGTACTTACGGTATGTAACTTGATTATCATTGTTATAAATTGGTCGTTTTTTCTTGTCTAAGACTATTAGTTCAACAAAGTGGTCAACATCAATGGGATAGGGGTGGGAATTTTCATCAAGCTACAACGGTGACCACAACTAAGATCATAAGAAAAAACTGCCAATTCGTAGGAAAAGAATTAGAAGTAAGGGTCCAGACACATCATAGAGACGCAACGCTGCAATCTCGAACCCGTGGATGTTAGATATCCGCGTACAGTCAAGTTATGCCCTAACACCTGCACCGTAGACCACCTTTACGCTCCTGAAACTGCAATAGGTGTGGCTGAATACTTGACTGAAAAAAAAATCGTTACCCATTGCAATGTCGCGTCTCCCTGATATGTCTGCAGCCTAAGAGCTGAAATGTAAGAATTTATGAAAATGGTATCGAACGGTTGGTTTTTGACAATGTTATAAGCTTTACTTGAGCAAAGATGTCTAGATATGCAAATGTACTTATTAGATAATTCAATAATTTTCTGAAAAAATATAATGTTACTGATCACTTGTAATACTGTCACCAGTCAGGATCTTTCAATCGTCAAATTACCTCGGCAGTAAAATGCTTTAAGCAACGCCGTAGGTATAGTTGTTTTTGTACCTTTATCATTATCATGAATAGTCCTAAAGGTAGACCCTACAGCTTTCATACCTAGATAGATAAAGACAGAAAGTACAATAGCAGCTATGACTCCGCGTTCTCATGAAACTACACAATAATTATACAAACTCCTTAATATTGCAAATCTAACGTTAAGTAATGGAACGTCCAATTTTCAATAAAGATATTCGACTGTTTGTTTATATCATAGGTTATTCATACCGTGCAACATGACTAACACCGAACAATGGTCAATGTTTACTACATTCGACTTGGTATAGAGCTCATGCAGTGCTGTTACTTGGGATACAGAGACTGTCGTGTCACAGTCGCATGGTTGTTGCAAGGTGTGGATAGAACACAATGATTTATTTAAAAAACAATCAAATTTCTTATTTGAAAATTGAACTTTACTTACGCGCTCTATAAACTTAAAATATAGTTTACAAGAATAGAGTATATTCTAAGTATATAAGTCAGACGATACTTAGATTTGCAATATTGTCGTATTCTTCACTATTGTATCATGTACTCCTCGCCGTACCCGGCGATAAGCACTCTTACATTTACTGTGTAGTTGATTTTACGTCTGAAAATGTACTTAAACTAGCAGTAATTTCAAAGGAAAATTCAGTGTTCTCACGTATATCCTAAATATCACTTAATAACATCAATATTGACGACATCGTCCCTTAACACCAGATGAGAACATACTATTGTTGTGATCCAAGGCAAACATTTTAATTCATTAATCAATCTTTCATTATTTTCTTGTTGTGCATGTATGAAACGTAGAAATTTATGAATCCATTAGACAAGTCAATTAAGCCTCTTCAATTAGGACAGTGGTTCTGTTGCAAGATCGATTACTAAATTTCAAATTTGTTTCCACGCGTTTATTCATACTTATGTTTATTTAAATATATTCAAATTGACACTTTTTTAAACAAAATCGGTATCTATCATAATATTACATATAAAGATTGACATTTTAATGAATCACACTAAAAAATTCGGTATAAGATGAACTTAGATGTCATCAAACAGCTTTAATATTTTTTATTTTGACAAATTTACTTTAGTATCCATACGAGTCTAGTTGGCACCCGGCGGTATTGCGTGGATAAAAAATCATTGTTCTTCGAAATTTAAAAACATATATTGCTTTGATCGCATCAACTATATTTTTCTGCTTCTCTAGTTTTCTCTCAAGACACAAAGGGATCGTATACCACGCTCTTATATTACAAATCATTAACATTGATGCAACTCATTTTCATTATGAATTTCGCACCTGGTGACATTTTAATGAATTGTGGGAAAAAAATTCGGTGTCAGATAAACGTAGTAGGTCTCATCGGAACTTCATTTTTTTTAAAGTTCGAAAACGAATTTTTTATTTATCATGCAATACTCGTTTGGCACACGGTGGTACTGTGTAGATAAATAAAACGTTGTTTTTCGAATTTTAAAATAAATATTGCTTCGGTGGCACCTGCCATATTTTTCTGCTACCCAAGTTTTTTCTTGAGACTCATAAAGGGGTCATCTATGTGTCTTACGCTATAACATAAGAAATCATTATCATAGATGCATCTTATTTTAATTATAAATTTCACACCAGGTATCATTTTAATGGATCGTACGAAAAAAGTTCGGTGTCAGATAAACGTAGTAGGTCTCATAGGAGTTTTATTTTTTTAAAGTTCGAAAACGAATTTTTTATTTATCATGCAATATTCGTTTGGCACACGGTGGTATTGTGTGGATAAGTAAGACATTACTTTTCGAAATTTAAAAAAATACTGCTTCGGTGGCACCTACCATATTTTTCCGCTACTCAATTTTTTTCATAGGACGCATAAAGAGGTTATCTTTATATACATATGTATAATTTAGAAACGACATGTCATAACAAAACAACAACGTTGAAACATCTTATTGTCATTGTTTATTTACATACTGGCTATCCTACAAAACAGTCTAACAGATAAAAATAGTAAATGCTACCAAAGTTTTAAATTTTTTAAATCTCTAAAAATGTTTTTTATTTACTATACATATACGGGTTGCCACCCGGCACTATCGTGTGGATAACGAAAACTTAGCTCTTTGACATTTTAAGAAATTACTTCTACGGCGGTATCTACCATATTTTTCTGCTACCCAAGTTTTTCGGTAAGACAGATAAAATGGTCATCTATGTGTATCAAGCAATTATACAAGAAATCAGTAACATTGATGCAGTTTATTTTCATTTTTAGTTTCACACAAGGTGACATTTTTATGAATCGTAAGAAAAAAATTCGGTATCAGATAAACGTAGTAAGTCTCATCGGATTTTCATTTTTTTTAAAGTTCGAAAATGAATTTTTTATTTATCATGCAATACTCGTTTGGCACACGGTGGTACTGTGTAGATAAATAAAAAGTTGTTTTTCGAAATTTAAAACAAATATTACTTTGTTGGCACCTGCCATATTTTTCTGCTACCCAACTTTTTTCTTAAGAAACATGAAGGAATAATCTCTGTGTACCACGCTATATTATAAAAAGTGAGCAACATTGATGCAGTTTATTTTCATTATTAATTTCACACAAGGTGACATTTTAATAAATCGTAGGAAAAAAATTCGGTGTCAGATAAACGTAGTAGGTCTCATCGAAGTTTCATTTTTTTTAAAGTTCGAAAACTAATTTTTTATTTATCATGCAATACTCGTTTGGCACACGGTGGTACTGTGTAGATAAATAAAACGTTGTTTTTCGAATTTTAAAACAAACATTACTTCGGTGGCACCTGCCATATTTTTCCGCCACCCAATTTTTTTCTTAAGACTCATGAAGGGGTCATCTATGTGTATTACGCTATATTATAACAAATCAGTAACATTGATGCATGTTTTCCTTATTCATTTATTTACACACGAGGTGACATTTTTATTATTCGTACGAAAAAAAAGTGTGACAGAATAAAGTAGTAGATGCCATCAAACTTCGAAATTTAAGGACATTTTTTCTTCGGCGGCACCTACTACATTTTTACTGCCTAAGTTTTTTTGTTATGACGTATAAAGTGATCATCTTTATATGTATCATGAAGAAACTACATAACATAACAAAACGATACCTTTGAAACATCTTATTTTCATTATTCATTTATACACTGAGTGACAGTTCAATATATCGTAGGAAAAATATACGGTGTCAGATAAACGTAGCAGATACCATTGAAATTTAAAGGATTTTAAAGTTTGGAAAATATTTTTTTATCTACTGTACAAAACTAGTTGGAACGCGGTGGTGTTGTGTAGATAAATAAAATTTTATTTCTCAAATTTTAAAATAATTACTACTTCGATGACAACTGCTGCATTTATTTAATAATCTTTCTTAGGATACATAAAAACTCTTCGCTATCGTATGGCACACTAACTTTTAGATTCTACAGTGCATATTGGCTGATTTCTCTAAAAGTATTCAGTAAACTAATGCTGCAGTTAATAGCATTGAATTTTTAACGAGACTAATTGTTTTGAGCAAATCGATAACAGTATCATACGTTCATAAAATTGCATTCAATATTGGCAAAAAAACAGAGAAGCTTAAAAAAATCTCATTTTTATTAAAAATGCTATCACGCAATGATATAAAATTCGACATTTCTGGATGACGGAATTGGTGAGTTTAGGACGACTTTCAACACCTTTCTCCTTGTCGAACCTCTTATATATTTCATTAGTAATTTTGAAATTTATATGAAGTTGTAAGTATACCGCTTATCTGTCAAGAAAAGTGCAAATTGTATCCTTTCCACTTCCGCTAGGCGAACATGCAAAAATATCAATTTCTTTTATTTCATAGTGTTAATAATGTTTTTAAAAAAATGTGATAAGTTCTTTCATCTTTGTTCTAAGCCAAAGTTTAATGTAACTCATTGAAGTATGATAGATTTAATCGTGTTGCTGAAAAGAAAGACACTACAAAAAAATCAATTTCATTAACTGTTTGAAATTTCATGCCAAGAATTTTACGAACGGTTACATACACGATAAAAAAAAATTACCAAGACCTAATTACCGTAAAATACCAACCATTTGTCTCGAGAGCACATTTTCAGACCTAAAATTGCTACAAAAAACATCGGATACTAATCAGTTAAAATACAAACGGTATGAAAATAAAAAATATATTAATAATTTAATCAATTTCAGAAGTTCGCCTATTTAAAGTTGATTGAAACGAAATTCACAATGTAAATTACAAAAAACTTTTGCAGCTATAAGGCATTTTCGCTCAAGTGCAAAGTTATAGCATAATGTAACTATTGTATGTCCATCCTAACACAATGTAAAATTAACATGATAAAAAAAGTTGAGATCACTGTCGTTAAGAAACTTTAATTTTAAATTTTATATTTTTTAAAGTAAAAGTTTCAATGGATTATTGTTAGAATTATAATTTCCAATCATGATTTGTTTGATCATACCAATTTTAAAAAAAATTTCTTAAAGAATATATATATTTCTAAATCTCTATAATTTTTGATAATTTGTTCTAATCTGGTAATTTGTTCTACTAAATTGGACTAGTAGGTGATCACAACTTTTTTTATGATATGTATATCGAATACGGAAGACTTGGAAGTTGAAGGTACATATGTATGTAATAAATACTTATTGGTGAATAAGGCGTTTACCATCCGGGAAAGCTAACGAATTAAAATTATATAAATACGGCACAATACTTTAAAAAATCCAATAATGATTTTAAAAGTATACTGTAGGCTGCACCTTGACGAGTAATAAATGTTTACGTTGAAAGTTGAAAGTTATATTTAATACAACACATTCGAGTTGATTCTTAATTTCATTAAATTAACGCCGGGAGACTTGTATTGTAGGAGTAACAAAACCGTATAGTTATATTTTAAAATGTGAATGTCCCCGTAAAATATGAAAGTAACGTGAAATATCTATACGTAGCAATGACAGATTTGGTTATTGAAAATCGAATTCAGCTGTGTGGCCTGTTATTCACTTTTGTGGAAACTATCATTAACCAAAATAAGTCCACAACATTTTGTTGTGCCCTGTATATTATAACAAAGTGTGTGATAACTGTTTTTGTGCATAAAAAATATTTTACAAAGTTTGTATTGAGGAAAAAAATGCGTAACGTATTATATGCGTAAACGATGACTGTGCAAGAGATCAGATTCGAAATAATTGCATTTAATTTAATTTAGACAACGTGTCATATTTAAATTAGGAAGAAACATGAAAGCAACAAACTTATCTTAAAATAAGTTAACTTTTAATTTGTTAGATTAAGCACCAATATTTTGCTATTTTGTTCCCATTTCAACATTGCTTAGAAAAGAAAAACAAAATTTAAAAATCAATTGACTTTCGTGCGGTGTTTATTAATTTTCAATGAAATCATATTTCATCCATCTTAAGTTTTAGATAGTAATTATTAAGTGATTATTTATATGGGAGGGTGGGAGGGCCAAGGGGGAGTGGTGACTTAGCAGTCATCGCTCCTGGGGGGCGGGGATAACTGAAGGGAGGGTTGAACGTTTTTGAGGTTGTTGGCTGAAAGATGGGAAGAATAGGATTTGTCATCTTATGCAGTTGACTGTGGACAGGTGGTCCCCGTTGCTTTCAATGTTCTACTTCTTTTCTTACGGGTATTAGCAAGAACAGAGTCCTGTTATTGCGTATAATTTTATTCTTCCAACTTCTAATTCTCGATTCATTGTGTCTATATGTCTTCAACTTCTTATCTATCAAGTCTGCTCAATCTTAAGTGCATATTTAATTTATCTCAAAATATAACACTGACTCTACAACATCATCGGTCTATGCACCAAGGCTGACAAGTTTTCTCGATATCCAAGCCAACTGTAGAGTTCAGTGGGAAAGACTCGTCGCCGCCACTAATGAGTGAAAAGTGGACAGGCATTAACGCATAGCATTCTCTACTCAAGTGGTACTGCATAGGTTATTATTGTATTTATTTTAAAACAAAGGACTGTCTCTGAGCAAAAAGTAACATGGGCCGAATGAGGTCGTTTTAATTGGCAGAGCATTAGATTTTTCTTCGAAATTGATAAATTGACAGTTATTTCTTGCTCAACAGTCATTTTTCCACTACGCTACGGTATTTTAACGACTACATAACGTCTTTTTTTAACATCAAGAACGACAAGAAGTGTCCTTTCACGTAGACTTTACTAAACGTTTCTGGAGACGTTGTGTAGAATATTGGCATAAACTTTTTATTCTTCTTTTGAAATAAAATAATAATTGATTTAGTAAACATTTGCGGAGTAGACTTCAGATTCTATCTCTATTTAAACTACCTTGCCCACATATACATGGGTCTGTGTCATCATCGAAGGTTACGTAGAATAAGTAGTTTAAAATTTTTGTTTACTTTTAATTCATTAGTTTAAATATTGATATCGTATAAGGAGCACTAACAACATGTCTTCCTTGTCTGCGCAAGATGTTAGAGTCTATACGTCTGCTTCTGTACACACGTCATGAGTACAAAGTGGTTGGTTTTATTGTTCTACAGCAGTAGTACCATATATCTCGTATGACGTAGAACATTGTGGTCTCTGCATAACGCCCTACAGCACAATGAGATATAAGGTACGATTGGGAATCCATTTTGTAATCGTTACGTAAATTCAGAAGAACTTTGGAGCTCATTAATTTCTCAACAACTTTTCTCCACACTAACATTTAACGATTTTTTGACAACTTGCGTAAGGAAAGTTGGTTTACGCACAAATAAGAGTATCATTTATTCGAAATTTATACCAACTCGTTTTAACTTTTACTTTCATAATTCCTGAAGACTTTGTAAAGAACAACACGTACACAACTATGTAAGATACTCGGCATATAAGATGACTGGCTCTCTGGCGTTTACTATATAGCGCTTGACAGATCGAAGTTTGTATTTACTATGCGTTATGAATGGCGGGCCTGCGCACAGCTCTGGGCGGCTCACGTTAGA